CCCCCCCCTTGTTTATTCCCTTCCTTCCCAATCCGAAAATTTTCCCATCTTTACGATACGATTCCTGCTCTTTCTTCCTCCTCTTCCCATTCTTTCAACGAGTCTCTCGTTCAGATGCACGACGTATCTGTTAAATATATTATATATATATATTATTTTTTTTTTTTTTTTTTTTTTTTTTTCAGGTGGCATTTCACCCGGGGGTCCTCCGGTCCTACTTTCCTGTCAGACCTCGCTTGAATGGGCGCATCAGCACACCGAAGTAAATATACATATATACATATATACATATATACATATATACATATATACATATATACATATATACATATATACATATACATATATATACATATACATACATATACATATACATACATCGCTCATCTTCTTCGAACAGAATTCCACCCGCTTCATTTCATCGACGGGATGCCCCCTCCCTCCTCCGGTAAGGCAATTTGCACCACGGCCATCTCGTAGAGGGGTAGTCGGGCTGCTACGAAGAGATTCTTTTTCAGCAGAGAGTTAAATGTGGAAACCTTGTCCGCAATGCGTTTTTTCTTTTCTTTTTTCTTTTCCGTGAGTACCTAGGTGCGGTGTGTTCTGGTTAGAGGTTTGGGGTTTTTTTTGGGGGGGGGGGGGGGGTGGTTCTGGTCGGTACCGGTACAATACGAGGAAAGTTGGATGCGGATTGGATTGGATATATATTTTTTTGTTTTTTTTTAAGGTTCTTGGTGATGAGATTAGTAAGGTGACTTGTTCTGCTTGAGTCGTGATTTAAGCGTTTCTTCCGGCGGAGTTTATAGCGTTCGGTCTTCTCTTTCGAGATGATCTTGCATATCGGTTGTTTGGGATTGATTACTGAGTTCGGTTTTCGGTGTTGGCTTTTCTTTGTAGTCCAGTAATCAGATGGTTTAAAAAGCTGAAACTTTGAAGATTGATCAAGAATGCTACGGCTAGAGACGGATAGTATGGTAGTACTTCCTAATCGTAGGCTTGGTAATGAGAAGGAGAGACGAGGAAGCAAGACCTAGAATACCGGTACAGGAGGGCCGAGAGGTCTTGTACCGGTACTTCTACTTGGGGCGGCCGCTAGCTTCGGCTGACTAATCCCCCATTCCCCCAACCAAGGCCTGCCTGCCAGCACCGTAACAAAGAAGCGTTGCTTCGAAGAGATTTGTTTATAGCAGGTTTGACTGCTAGTTACGAGAATCCTAAGAACAGCTCTCGGGGTTGTTTACGAGCTGAACGCGGAGTCTAAGAGATAAGAAGGTCGATATATTAGCTCGAAGGTAGAAGCTATGGAAGAAGAAGGTGACTCCGCAACTACAAGGTCTGTGCTCTAGGCCCCCCACGTGTTCCTAGCCCTCCGACTGAGTAGGTACCGGTAAGTAGTACTACCCCCTCCCATGAATACTTAAATGTCGAAAGTATAATTTCGCAAGGGATCTTACTAGGGCCTAAACCAATCAACTGATATCTTTGAGCCAGTATTTAGTCTATATAGTGGAGTCGACAGGGCTTTGAGCCATCAAGAAACCACCGCTCTATGATTTATGGGCCTAAACTGGGTCCGACATTTATTCATGGGAGGGGGTAGTAGGTACTACGTAGCTAGCGTAATAGTCAGTGCATTATTGACTTTGTAACCTGCGGGCTCTCGGTCACAGTCTGGGCAAGCAAGTGTCCCAGGTCAAGCAAGTGTCCCATTTCACTCATTTCAACTTGTATTGGAAATGACTTGGCACCGAATAAAGCTATGATATTAAAAATTTAATACTCTTAAAGAGCTCGATGCCGCCGACCAACGCATTCGATTTTTAACAATATAGCTCTTTTCATTATTAAGTTATTTAAGTTGCAAATCGTAAAAAACAAAAAAATGTTTTTGATTCTCTATCGAAAAGAATCCGGAATCGCGATTTGTGTTAAGAATAAGTCAATAACGAAAAAAGCTATAACAATAAAAATTAGATGTACGAATCGAGGGTAAGTGAATCATATTTTATCTATAAGAAATATTATATATTTCTATGATTGAAATAAGTATAATAATACTTGTTACGCAAAATTTACAATTGTAAAATCGAAAAGAGCTCGGACACTTTGGCGAAAAATTCAAGAACATCAACTTTTCGATTATATTTATAACTTGAGTAAGATAGTAGTTATAAAAGCTGTAATTGTTACGGCTGGAGAAGAATAGTCTTGCAGTACTACCTCATCGTACGCTTGGTAGTGTGAAAGGAAGACGAAGGAGAGAAGAACTACCGGTACAATACAAGTCCGAGGATATATATATGAGGGGCGGCTGCGCGAGCGGCCGCATCACATGACCTTGGATGACAAAGCACAACCCGACCAACAAGGCAACCAGAAGCGTAACAATAATAATAAAAACAAATTGCACGAGTCCGCTTGGTTGAGAGTTTTCTAGATATCAAATTTTCATAGCGAAATTCAATCTAAGATACGATCAATACTAGAAAATATAAAAATTTTCTAATATCAAACTTTTAATTTCCAATCAAATTTTAATTGATAATTAAATATCATTCACTTTCTTGATTATTAAATTGGTAATGAAAAGATTTCATGCTTGGTTAAAGTTCTAAAGATCTCGATTACGCCGATCTATGCGTTTAGTTTTGAATATAATAGCAGTATTCGTTGCCAAGTTATTTTTAATATGAGTTGGAATAATTGAAATGGGACACTTGCCTGCCCTGACTGTGACCGAGAGCTCGCAGATTACAAAGTCAGTGTGCACTGACTATTAGATACCGCGATTGCTTTTCATACGACTTTGGACCAGATTACTAGGTAGACAACTTACTTTGCCGAAGATGCTTATAGTAGTTTGCATCGACTCTTATTCATTTGACGAGTATTTAGTAAAGACTAATACTATGAAAGAGAAAGAACTATTGATTAATGTAATAAATAGCCTTGCGCTAATCATACGAACGAACGCAAAGAGATGGCGGAGATACGCTGGATCGATAGGAAATCGAACCTAGCTGACCACATCACGAAAGCCGTACCGAATGAAGCACTCAAGACTTTTCTCCATAGTAATTTAATATCTTGAAGGTTGAAATTGAAGGAGGGATTGATAGAGAATAAGAAAGGAATTGGATTTGAAGGAAGTCGATTCCGAGAAGTTCGAGTAAACTTCGGGACGAGAAAACTATATACGTTATAATCAAAGCGTTCCTTATTACAAGTAGAGAACTGCTGATATCGGATTGTAAAGGCTAAGGTGGCAGTCGAGAATGGAAAGAACGCGAGCGAATGGCAGTGGCCCGTGCGCCTACAGTTCCCGTATGGAACCGTCACAACTACTCATAGCAATACCAACCATTATCACAACTATAATCCAATTGACTAGTCAATACCACCAACAGCTGTGTTACCAATAATAAGATAAGGGGTCTAAGGAGGGGGGTTGCCCCTTTCATACTTGGCTTTCGGTTGATTGATCTCTTGATTGAGAGAAGGAGATTTTTGTTGTTGTTGTTGTTGTTGTTGTATTTATTTACGTCGGGCGGGTAGCAGGCGAAGCCTGCCGCCCTAAGACCTCCCATGAGGTACGGCGACGTGCTAAGCTAAGGAGTTACATACAAGAAAGCCCTAGAAAGCAATTCATAATGCTGTAGCGAAGGCTACTGTCGCATGCGCCCTTCCCTTACAGATAGGATGGATCACATAGAAAGAAACCTTTCATCAAGGGAAAACCACAAAGGGAAAGTCAAGCAAGTACAGACTGCTATAGCTAGCTAGAAGCGAGCTGTTCAAGTCACATAGCGACGGGAGTCGAGGCCGGACCGGAGTCAGCCGAGAATAAGAAAAGAAAAGAAAAAGGTCATTTAAGAGAAGGAGAGGGAGAGGGAGAGGGAGAATAGTTAGCGTGAGATACAATAGCCGGATCGTAAGAGGATCATAATGGAAAGAGAGCAATAGAAATCGAATCCCGGTTAAAGCTGATCCTTCTGAGAGTGCAAACTGTTCACCGAGGCCAAAAAAAAAAAAAGATTCCGTAGACTCAATAAAAAGTATGTAATTGTATCCAAACGAGTGGCTGTAAAGAAGATGTACATTTTAGTACACTACTGCGCCCATTAAGCGGGGCCGTATGAGCTATGCCTTATACAGAGCCCCAAGCATGCATTAGCTGCGACATAATACCAGCTTACGCGGAGCCCTTATTTTGCATGCCCGAGAGCATGGCTCTTCCGCATAACACTTCTGCTTCAAACGAATGAATTGAGATCCCAGCTCCGTCCGTATGTATGATCCGGTCTTCTCAAAGCGTGCGAGATGAACCGAACTACCGTCGAAGGACCGACCGATCGACCGATCGACCGACCGACCGACCACCTTACTGAAGGAAAGAACGAGTCTTCTACTTGAACTGGACGTTCCTGCACATCATAGAGCTGATCTTGTCATCGAATAGGTAGTTCGAGCCGTCATCGTAGATGCTGGCACTTCGGCCATTGGCCATGAACGTTGCCGATTCACCGCAATTCAAGTCGCTATTTATCATTTTCATCATGATTAGCGAATTTGTTTATTTAGATATATGTGATATAGTAGTAAAAAAAAAAGAAAAAAAAAAGGATAACGACAACAGAACGGTCGATCGATGTTCACTTACTACCAGAAATGGCACTCAAATCCTTTGGTATCGTAAGAAGAGATGGCATCGTTGAAGATCGAGACGCCGGCATAGAAGTTCACTTGAAGACTTTTGTTAGCTTGAGCTCTTTCATCAGTATATGTAAGGAGGTGTCTTTCTTACTGCATTCGCTATCGTTGAATGCTAAATCATGGCAGTCGACAAAGTCCTTCTGGAGGCAAAGACTGATCTCTTGTTTTATTTGTCTAGCGGCGATAGGAGGAGTAGGTCCTGCGACCACAGAAGAGGATGCAAGAAGAGCTGTGGCGACGATAGCGTTCGTGAACTTCATTTTGATGGATTGATAGTGACGTAAGGATAGAAGAGGAGGGGGGGTTTCTGAGAGACTTGAATAGAGGTTTTGATAGACAGTGAAGAATTGCTAATGGGCTGGATTGTCGGACTTTAGAGAGAGATATAAGTACTTTTTCCTTCAAGCTTACGGATATTACGGATATACAGACTTTGAAGATTCTTTTCGCCAAGTCGTATTAATATATACGGAAAGCTTAAGGCGTTTCAAATTAAGTAGCACATCAACTATAAAAATTTTAAATGCGGAGGTTATAAGGCCTTAAATTTTATTCACCGCCTTTTCTGGCCAGTCAATCAGTGAATTTTGGGATCTACTACGTAGTAGCTGGCAGAAAAGGACGGCGACAAAACCTAAAGGCCCCCGTGCCCTTCGTATACTGTATTAGTCTTTCATATACGTACTACGCACCGGCAGTTGTACCAGGAGTCCCTTCTACTGTACTTTATGAAACTCTATCGATTCTTCTCGAAGTCTGGATACTGGAAATCATCTGTGAATCAGTCTTGGCCATTAGATCATGCTTCTAGTGCCCTTCCGTATCAGCATGTCTTTATACCTATATACCTATCCTCCCTCTTCCCAACAATCAGTACGGCCCACCCCAGGGAGGTCCTCCCCAAAGATAGTACTACGTACGGCTACCCTCAGCAGCAGCATCGCAACAACTTGAAAGCTCGATCCTGCTGAGCCTTGTCAGGTTTCGTGAACTGATGTTTGAGCGGTAGTTCTCCGGACTCGTCTGGCCAGCATGTCTGTCCCCACCGCAGGCGTTGATCTTCTTAAACCGGGGAAAGAGGCTGGCGTACTTAAGGCTCTGTATGCTTGGCTATGCGTCGTACGTAGTATTTTACTACGTACTACCTAGTACGTCGCAGGCGTAATGGTTACACCCTTGAGGGTAGGGTAATCAGGGGCTTTAAATTAGACATTCAAGATTTTGAGGCACCCTCAAGGATGTATAAATTACGCCTGTATCGTGGGTATACTTATTTTAGAAAAATCCGACTCTATATTTAGGACGACTTTCGACATGGGCCGCACGGGTACCCACCCACAAGCTCTTCAGCCTGACGAAGCGGGTGTTGTTTCACTTGGTACTTACTATCTACGTAGTAGGTACGTCCTCCCCGTCCTTTTCTCTCCATCTGCCAGACTTGGTTGACGTTTGACGCAGCTTGGACTCCCTTGTGCTGTTGCTGACTGTGCGTGGAGACTTGCGAAGCTAGCTTCGAATTGCCTGTCTTGCTGCTTATTTTGGATCGCTTAGCTAGCTAGCCATACTCAATATCTGCTACACGTAGTACTGCGTATATCCTTTAAGACTGAAAAGGATGTAAGCGAGCCGACGATTACGTACTGCTGGTATTTTTATACTATCATAGCGATAATCAGTATATATGCGAAATTGCCGAGCCACTTCGCAGTCATAACTATATAACCAGAGCTGTTCCTCTCTACATTTTTATTTTCCATTTTATCATACACTCTCGTTACAGTGCTTTACAATCTTCTTACAAGCTTCATTCGTTAAACTTCATTCGTTAAACTTCACTCGTTAAACTTCACTCGTTAAACTTCATTCGTTAAAACGATCGATCACCTTTATTTACCAACCTTACTATGCGTTTCAATAACAACCTCTTTTTGCTCGCCTCCTTCTTCGGCGCTGCAACCGCTTTCCGTCGAACTTGCACGCCCGACACCACTAGTGACGTCGCCGGCACCGGCTGTTACACTTTGACAGAATCCGACCTTTGGGAGAACATCGCGGCTGACTTTTGCACCAATCTACCCGAGCTAAAAAAAATGAACCCTGGCTCCTCTTCTAAACCAGGAGAAATTCTCAAAGTTCCTTGCCAAGCTCGAAAGCGCGATTGCTCTAGGATCCCGGGCCAGGGATATGGGTATTATACGGTCGTCGAAAGCGACGACTTGGCACTTATTGCGATGGATTTCTGCATAGATACTTTAGCTTTGCAGCGACTAAACCCGAAGGTTGTTACGGGCTACAAAGTCGCACCTGGCGTGGTCCTCGAAGTTCCTTGCGCTTGGAACTAGCTACAATAAAGAAAGGCCTTATCCGCTCGCTCGCTTTGCTTATTGCGAAGCTATAACAAGCATGGGATTAGCGACGGAATAGGTTGTGGTTGGACTTCACTTTGAAGCTGAGATTTATCAGGCAGTTGGACTGCTCTTCTTCGACAACAGGGTTGAGCTTAATGTATTTCGGAGGGAGGGAGGTTAGTGGATGGAAACTACCGGTACCGTATCCTCTGCCTTATATGAGACCTGGGCAAGCCATGCGTGGTGGAGACGGGCAACGGCGACAAGTGAGCGATTGGCAGGAATTGATGACTCAGAAATGCCAAGTATCAAAACCTATAGTGTTTGAGCAGCTAAAATGAATAGAATTGCATTGCTATTACATCTTGATATGCCAACATGTCTTTGCCCACCTTTGAAATTCCATCACAACCACCAAAACCACTAGGTCCGCTTTCAGCAAATACCTCTTTCAGCTCTCAAGCTAGCTCTAGTTCTAAAAGAAGCGCTAAAAGCGTCTTAAAAAGAAAATGGGGCAACGATAAGCTTATTCCTAAAGTAGCACGAATGGGAAAGAAATCTATGACGATAGATAAGCTAAAAGCACGAAGCAATTGCAAAAGAAATCGTATACGTAGAACCGAATATGGAAATTGGTCGAAAGTGATAGAAAGTACAGATTGAACCGCAATTGATATTTAAACATATCTATTAAGACGAAATTAAATCAAAACAAATTAAAAAAGGGACGAAAACATTGAAATTCGCTTAATTCCGACCTTTACCAAATTCTCGACGTTGGATTTTGCTGGCTGAGTAATCCTCTTTTCTCGCTTCTCTACTTGGCTGGCTCCACCGCGCACGGCTCTACGTACTACTACGTCGTACTACGTATGAGGCCAAGCTGGGTCCGATAAACATTCAGGGGGGGGCGGGGGTGATAGTACGTACGGTACGTACTAGTTGGGGGGTTGGGGGCGGAGGTCTGGTATTCCCTGGCGGCCCTCCGCAAAGCTCCCGGGGGCCAGGGGACCTCGCTTCGCAACGGTCCTGGTGTACAGAGTAAATAAGGCTGCCTTCCGGAGGCCTTTAAACATGTTACACTCTAAAATTATGTAATAAGATGTGAACCCTTCAGCCACCGGCCGTACTGTAAGCGAAAATTCGCGGCCTTCCGCAAGCCCCGGGGCAAGTCTCCGGACTTTCACGGGATCATATTCGTAGCTATATAATCTATAATGACAGCTTCCTTTGGCCGGATACAGCTAGCTGTCCTTCGAGCATTCAAATCATAGCAATACTTGGCCTTCTAAAGTGCAATGCAGCCAGATGTCCTTTTAGCATTCGATCTACAGTATTAAAATAAACGGATTCTGAAGCCGAGTGAACTTACTCGGTTGTTCTAAATATAAATAGAGTTAGCGTTACAGCGAAGATTTTAGTACGAAGTAGTACAGTAAGATGGACGGTTTCAAAAGACAACGATCGTTGATCTGCCGACCTGCTTATCTTATCGACTGCTATTAAGTACTACGTACATTTCAGCCCCCTTGTTTAAAGGGTTGGCCCAGTTCTGCTCCATAAATCGTTAAGCGGTGGTTTCTGAATGGCTCAAAATACTGTCAACTCCACTGCACAGGTTAAATACCCCACGGTACAGGCCTTAAGTGTGACGGCCTGAGGAAGCCTTAAAGGTCTAAGCCTCCACTTTAAACCTCTTGGTTACCCTAGCCTCAGGGTGTAACATTTACGCCTGTGACGTTATACGTAGTGCTTGCTTAAAGATAGTAGTACTTTTCATAGCTAGTACTGTCGATCGCGATACAGTAGGTTTGTTAGTCCAAGCCACAGTAAGAGCCCTTGCAAAGTTTCACGATCGCCCTTTCAACATGGGGGTACATATAGTACTACGTAGTAGTACTAAGTACGTAGTACTCGTAATACGCCGCTTCTTCGTATACGGAGGTCTCGGTTATACGGTTTCAAACGCATATGCATAGCCTCAAAAGATTCCACATGCTTTCACACTCAAAAATGAATGCCGCTTTATGCCAGCCAATGTTTCCCTTGTGCGCGTACGGTAGGGCTGAGGGTAAACATGAGGGAAATAATCGGCCAGAAAAGAAGCCATTCGTATAAAATCGCGAAGAGACGTACTTACAGATGTCAGAAAATAGCGGAGCAAGAGCAGAATCAATTGAATATTCTAATAGTTTACGCTGCGCAAGGCACGCAGTTTTGTTTCTGCAATTATGGCCAGTCTTATCGCAAGCAGAACAAGGTTAAGTAACGCGTTGCTAGCTTTTCTAGCATATCTCCAACATGTGATAACACGCCAGTTCTGGCCCGGTCATCACTATCTAGGTTGACATGTCAACCTCTTGTATTTACTACTAGCTCTCAGGTCCCTTCAACCTCTACTCTCGGTAGTCATTGATTCTACTACGTAAGTTATTACTTTGAGAAACTCTCTTGCATTCATGTGATTCCCCTGATCCCGCGAGTTTCTCGAGTAATCGGTTAAGGTTGTCACACAATATCCTTCCGCTTCTTTTCATTTCTCTTGGTGTTAGGATCCACTAGCTGTTAGGAGCCAATAGTTGAATAGCTTCACCACTGGGCTGAACAGCTCAAAAAGGCACAATAACTGAGAACGCTCCTCAGATAGCTATTCTACTATATATAGAACATATTTAGAACGTACTTAGTTAGCCCACCTGACTAAGAACTCCTGACAGCCACCGGCTTTCTTGCTACGCTCGTCGTTTTAATCCTTTTTTGGAATCGGATAAAGATCCTCGATTATATGCCCGAAACAATACACGATTCCTTCTATTCTAAAAACGCTCCCAGTTCTACTTTTGCTCCAGCAAATAAATCACGGGTCGATGTGGCTCGGCGGGTTTTAGCGCTGCCGCTTTAGACATACCGGTACGACGAGTCGGTAGAGGCAAGCACGCCGAGCTGCCCGACGACGAGCGTCAACTTCGATGTAAGATCCGTACGTGACAACGCACAGCAATAGCGGGATCTACCATCGTCTCAGATCACAAAATGGCGTCGAAAGATCGCGGAATATTTGCAAAAACAAAAGAAGAAAGAGAAAGCGACCGCCTTTAAGCGTAAGCACGGCGGCAAAGGCATCGTGATGGCGGCCGAAGACCACGATGCCGTGATCCGAGTGCGGACTTCGATACGATTCCTGCGCTCCTATAGCTGCACTCTCTCGGTCGAGATAATATCCATTTCCAAAGCGAGCGCTCGCCAGCTAACAAAGAGATGCTTTTCGAGCTCTAGACATGCGCGAAGGGCTCCGATCTGAATAGCGGTGCCGAGAACGTAACCTTCAAGGTCGTAAAAGGCGTTCAGAAAGCCGACGGCTAAAGAGACTTCTAGGTCAAAAGAGCGGCGATGCAGCAGTCGAGTCTTAACGAGATCTTGTATTTGAATACCGATTCCATCCTCGTTGCGGACCCGGGGTCCCTATTCGAGAGCAAGGCCTAAGAAGAGACGGGCCTGCTGCTCTGGCTGGACTACACAAATTACACCCGTCCAGTCCGATCTGGCGGCTCGTCGGACAGCCTTGCCGGAAACGAGTACGAAGGCGAGTCGGGGCAGATGGTGATCTCGCGATCCCGGCACCAGGACCTGCTGTAGGTGGTGGAGTACCTGGCGCTCCACCACGACGAGATCTACGGCTTCATGGGGGGGGGGGGGGGGGGGGGGAGACCGGCAGTCGTTTCGCGCCGCGGCCCAGCTGCTGGGGAAGCAATAAGTTGAGCCGGCCGGATGCTTGCTGCAGGCTGGCCCGGACGGGCAATGGATGTTTATCCACCCGAACCTGATCAAGCACGGCTCGTTCTTACATGCTTGGATTAGGCTTCCCTCAATGCTGTCCATTCTTTTGGACCGTGGCGTCCGCGCAGGTCCAGTCAAAACCCTTGGCCAGAAGCTTCACGATATGGTAGAAAGAGGTATATACGATGCAGTCATCTCCAGGCTCTTTTTTTCTTTATTATCTCTATTGATGCGCTCGAAAGAAGTCTTGGCTCTCACATCGCGCAGCAGAACGGAACGCCGGCCTCCTGATTCGGAAACTTCCGCAAAGGTTCCAATTCGAAAGCTTCGAGCTTTCCGCGAAGTCACCGGTCCTTATGAGCACAGTAGGGAGGCTGGTGAGAAGCTTCCCCGGAGCAGCAATCGCGGTAGACCAAACAAAAGTGTCAACACCCGGCTTCCGCGATGTTCTTACCGAAACGCTCTTTGCTTTGGAAAGTGAGGGAATCGACGAATCTATAAGCAAATTTCCCGGTCATGCTCCCAGAGATGGGGTGTCTCCGCATTTTATCACGGAATGATGAGTTAAGCCATGCCCATTTCTGTTCTCGGAGCTGCAACATGTTCCTTTAAATTGCCCTATCTTTGCCTAAAGAACGAGCTCTCTCGATAGCGTAATACGAGGAGGCGACTAATCAGATTCCTGTTCTTAAGCTGCCTGGTATTTTACGTGGTCTCGGCTCACCCGTCGCTATTTCTCGGATCCACAAACGTACTAAGGACGAGGGCATTTTTGGAAGTGGCCCAAAACCGTTCCGTCGCTCGCCACGCTGGCTGTTGCTCAAAGTGTCACTGCAGACAACGCTCGCCGACCAGAAGCGCTACGAGATATTCATGATCTATTTCACAGCTACCGCTCTCGAACGGGCAGTGACTGCTGACGTTTCCAGCGACAAAATTCATGTTATGCTTGCAAAGATTGCGCGACGTATCATGAAACTGGGTTTCTTCATCAAGGAGGATGCGCCTTGGGCTCCCTTATTAGAGCCTGCAGCAAAAGCAGCTGTTTTTGAGCTCGACATTCCTAGCTTTATCCGCAGCTGGCGTTCTATTTCGTATCAGATTCTAGCTGATGTGCTGAACCCTTTACCGGTCCCCTAGTCGCGGTGAAAAAGCCTGACTCTTAATAAGTACGAGGGTCTGAAAGACTACGTCAAGCAGAATGTTGACAGACTGGAATTCGTCTTGAAAACTAGGCCCTTGGCTCAAACCGCAGGCAGAGCAGTAGTAGTGTTCGAAGCCACCGAAGAAATTGCCTGCCTCGAAAACCGATCAAAACTTGCTATGCAAGATTCGTTGTCTTAAACACTTGACCGCTGAAAATCTTGGCAAATACGACATATTCAAAAAAATTGTTCATTGAAGATCGCATAATCATCTATTTATTTTCCACTTCAATATGCTCCCAGCGGTACCAATCATACTTCGAACGAAGTGATTTCTGGACAATGGTCTTGCCCTGACGGCCTGAATATACACGAATACCACGCTTTTGCGGTGTTGCGCAGCGGTCATCGCCTTCAATTACGACACACAGGGCTTGAGAGCCGGCAATTCCGGGGCCACATTGTGGATAACGTGCAAGCACAATAAACTCCTGGAACTACTCTGAGACCCTCAAATCCGAACATTTGCTGACATCTTGATCATCAGACAAGATGTGGGAACTTTGCATGGCCTGCGGACAAAACTGGTCCTCAGAGACAGAGAAACACGGACGCGTGGCAATCGTCCTCCACGGATCTGTAAGTTACCATCCACACCTTGACCATGTGCGCGTAGAAATTGCTACAAGTCGAGGTGACAAGGTTTTCTATCACCAGTTTGTGATCGATAAGGACCTCGGGTACGTTCAAATTCGGCTTCGGGCTCGCGGAAACTCGTGGAGGTGCCTGCTAACATAATAACAGATTGCTCACCGATAACGGCAACTTACGTTCGAGGCTATTCAAGTTATATCTTCATGCGCTGACATCTCCCTGCCTTCCTGATCCCCTTATATTCCGCACCGGATCCGAAGAGGCCCTTCATGGTCTCAGACTTGCCGCCGGCACGAAATCGTTTCTGGACATGGAGCAGAGCAGTTTACACCGACCCACGATGTTGTTTACGACGAAGCGAGAGATTCTATCCCCAACAGTCCTCGGGAGTTTGGTGCCTGCCACATTGCAACATTGGTACGTACAGACGTCCCATCCTAGATTTCAACAGTTAAAGCTTGCCGGCTGTTGAATCCGTGACACAGTATCGTGTTAGCAAGGGTGGCAGTGGGCAGATTCACATGGTCATTGTGGATCATTGAGCCGAAAAAAAAAACAAAAAAAAATCCTTTGCCCCAAGCTCACATCAGAATTCCTGCGCTCACATCACGTCTTTGGATTCTTCATCTTCCAACCTTGCTCTGTCTTGTATCAGTTCGACTGCAATGCTGACTTTCTTGCAGGTAGAAAAATGGTCTTGTCGCTTAACCCCATACACCGACCGATCTTTCTCGTCCATTCGAGTAGTGGGCCCAGTTCGGTTGCATCGTTCACGGATCACAGCCTGGTTCTAAGATGCGATTCGAGAAGAAATGGCCCGAGTATTGTGGTGGAGCTGGCGTTCCTGATCTATTTCGGCCCTGGCTTCTTGGTCTACTTTTGCCCTTACATCAGGCTTTATTATCACGTGTTTCTGCTCCACTAAGCACGGTGCTAGGTCACGTGCATACGCTTATATGGACGAGTAGTTGGTTCCTCCTTGAATTACCATCATCATATATATATATATACAATACAATACTACGACGAATCGACGTCTTCTATTCCCCCTTCTTTCCACCCACGATTCTACTATGATTATATACATATACATCTCTTGATTCGCAGTCAGGTATATGCTAGATAGAGCTCTTTCATTCCACATATACTCTGTTGACTTACGCAAGGAGCGAATCGAGGGTGGTCTTCACACCGTGTCATGCGTGACAATAATACCTCACAGGATTACCATGCCACGCCCGACAGGAATCCTCCACTCGGATACCCAATATCCGTTCAACCACCGGGAAGCCTCCGCTACACCTACGGTATAACCAAGATGAGGACCCGACAAGTTAAAAAAAGATTCTGAGAATGCGTATCATAAGCTCGCATCGTATCTAAGTCCAGGACATCAAGGAGTCTTATTCTAGTAGTAGCGTAGAGTTATATCTATATACTGATCCGAGGGTGCTCCTTAGAGCAGAGCCCCAGAGATCAGTTCACTACCAATACATACTTCTACACTCCTACTATTCTATCTTTACCTGTCTTCAGAGCTACCTTCTGACAAGCTGATCTCTCATATGGAATGAATTGAGAGAGCGAGCCACCTGGCTATTCCTGGCGTAATCGTTGGCATGATAATCCGTGAGGATTTTTTCTGAGATTTGCTAAGGTCTTAGCAACACCTTGTTCTAGCTGCGTTCTCCAGCCGTCAAGTTGGTCCCTATAAAAGAATGAGGCCATGAAGTCAGCCTGCTGCTTGCTAGTATCTAAACAATATAGGTGGGCCCTGAAGTAAGCTTCGACATCGGCTATAAATCGCCTAGTCTCTTCGGGTTTTTCGCATTGACTTTTCCTAAGCAGAACGGCCCGTACCCTTTTTTCCTTGTCGCGCTGGTCTTTGGCCCATGCGTCGCTCTTTTCTTTATTAAAGAGGATATTTCCTACCTCCTTAAATAATAACCTTATAAAGATTTGGTTTAAGACGTTTTGCATCAGCTCTCCTCGATATAATTGTTTTTCGGGTTCTCAGTCGTGAACCAAGTGTGTTTTGATTGTTTTCCGCCGTTGTTTCGAGGGGTTTTTCAGTTTCATCCTCAGGCCCAATTTTACTTCTTGTAAGGGCTCGAATTCCAGTGGTCAATGTGGTCGTAGCAGCGGGTCATAAGGTTATTAACGTCAGCGGTACCAATTTGGCTGGTTGCCGAGGGATTGCAATCCGTAGACGAAAGAACATCAATGAATTGTTCCCAAGTGATAGAAGAGTAAGATAATGAAGGGTCGTCCCCCCTTCGGTACTGTGACGTTTCGCCCTAGAAACCAGACGAAAAGCTAGAAGCTTCTAGCATACCGACCTCGGCGCTTTTAACAAGGCCGGTCGCTAGTTTTTGGATTCGCTTCCGCTCTCGCTCGAAGAGTCTTCGTGGTAGATCAGGCTAATACTCTGCTCTTTACACGGTCGACGGCCTTATCGTGCTAGCTTATCTTATCACTCATTTTGGCTTGCGTAACTTGCCCTGTAGAAAGGCTAGTAATTATATCAATTACTAAGCCGCTTTCGTGGTCGGAAGGGTATCGAAAGCCAATCCTCGCTTTGCGTATAAAGGGGTAGCCGAGGATCAGTCGAAAATCTGGCGAATCCATCACATAGAACCGAGTGCGGATTGTAGCTCCGCCGATATTAACAGAAACATTATCAGCGTAACCGATAAAGCGCGAAAAGGAACCGGTAATCGTGCGAAGGCCTATCTCTTAATCGTAAGCGATAGGGATTTCGAACTTCACCGCAGCGTCGTGGGTGATTACGCTGACCTTCGCTTTAGTATCGAGTGTAGCGGGCGCATCAGTGATCAGAGACTGATTTACAATAATCACGATGACCTTAAGCGTTAAAGAATAATAATAAGTACCCAAAGAACGGTTGACCAAACGTTGAAGCGAGGGCGACTATCGCCGAAAAGGGCTCCGCTTCGCCTCCGCTTGCAGATTGTAAGGCACGCCGATCCTTACGGGCAAACCGCTTAAATAGAAGGTGCTGGATCCAAACAATGCCGTAGAAAATTGCCGTAAGAAGGGTAGGCAGGAGGCCGGTGAGAGGACTAGAGCAAAGGCGTCTCCAGGGAGGAAGTACTCCCAGGTTGTGAAGGAATGAAGTGAAGGCTCGGGCTCCAGCATATACCTGACCGCGAATCAAGAGATATATAAGAATATAATCATGATAGAATCGTGGGTGAAAAGGAGGGCGAAAGAAAGACGTCTGTTCGTCGTAGTATTGTATTGTATTGTATGTATGTATGATAATGGTGGTTCAAGCAGGAACCAACTACTCGTTTATATAAGCGTATAAACGTGACCTAGAAACGTGCCTAGTGGAGCAGAGGCCTGTGATAGTAGGGCCTGATACAGGGCCAAAAGTGACTAATCGTCGGTTCAGTCTTAAGGAGGCTCACCTAAGCGAGCCGAGGCCCATCTAAGCGAGCCGACGATTAGGAAGCCAGGGCCAAAATCGACCAGGAACGCCAGCTCCACCACAGTATCCAAGTAGATTCTCAGCTTTATCAAGTTCGGATTCTACGATGGACAAATTTCGAATCATCTTATTCCTCGTAACATTCATTGGCAGAGTCGAAATACGATACTACCGGTAAGCCATTGGTTGCTACATTTTTGGCCCGGGCTACCGCACCAGCCTTGCGCGATCTACACCCACCTCAGCATGAGCGCTGCGATCTCTCGAAAGGCTATGAGCCCGACGAAGACCTGCTAAGTAGCATGCTTGAAAGATGCAAGGTAACGTTGAGTCTTTATACAGGCAAATATCCTCACGATTAATACTTTCTAGCTCTTCAATCATTAAGAACGCGAAGACGGCGTTGGTGCTTCCTCGCCTTTCGCCTTCCATCCTTCTTCGTTTGCTCGCACGCTCCAACCCAGTGGCGCTGAGCAACGATTAGAAAGTCGCGTTCACGCGCTATGCTCTGGCCATTGCGGAAATGCAGTGAGCTGAACGACTGGTAGCTTGCGGCGAGAGACTCGGACATATTAAACGAGTTGACGAACACTGGTCATAAAAACTGGGATCCGATGGAGTATCCGGAATGGTTGTTACTTGAACTTGGAAATAACATTCTCATTCGCCCCGAAAAAGCCAAGATTGCACGAGAAAGTGATTTCTCCCAGAACAGGCTCGAATTCGACCATGCAGCTTGAAATGGGATTGGGCAGGTCTTCTGTTATCGTACCCATCGTCGCTGCAACATTGGTAGATAGCTCGAAGCTTGCTCGGGTTGTGTGCTTGAAGTCTTTATCTGAGCAGATGTTCAGCTACTCGCAAGCAAGCTAGGCGGGCTCCTCGGACGCCGCATCTACCGTCTTCTGATTTAGTGATCGTTGAAGCCAACTTTGCATTGTGCTAAGCTTATCCAAAAGACGTACAATAAATGTATGGCTTCTGGGGGAATCCTGCTCGTACAGCCAGAAAGTCTCCTCTCATTCGAGCTGCTCGGTGTCGACTATCTTTTGTCCAAAGACTTGGTTCCCCAAGAGCAAGGGGATGATCCTGTGCCCGGACAACCCCAGGAGTCGATGCACGAAACAGGTACGGTGAGGGTGAGAACTCAGCAATGGCTTTATCAAAATGCTAGAGACATCCTAGACGAGTCGGACGAGATTCTTAGCGTTAGATTCGAGCTGATCTACATGCTGGGGATGCAGCAAAAGATTGAGTTCCTCTCCCGATCGGTGGGTGATCATTCAAAAAGTCCTCGGCATTTTCTCGGAGACAGCTCAAGACATTTTGGAGGAGTTTCCTCAGGGCCTCGAGCTCATCGAAGCATTTACAGGAGCATTTCTCTGCACCCGTATTCTACAGAAGGAGGCTGGCAAATCTTTTCCTGGGAACTATGGCCAAAGCACCATGTCGGTCCGGGCTCACGTCTCTGCCAATGTGGTGGACCTCCGACTCAGAGGAGCAAACATTTTCGAATGTCCCAGGGTGTGAATGTGTCTTCCGACGGGTGGGTCTCGCCCGAGAGCCGAGTCAAGCAAGACGACGCTGCGGCTCAAATCTGCAAGTTCAATAGCAGTCCTATCGACTTTCTGCGTCTTATCATATCTTTCCGACGGCTTGATCAGACCTTCTCGATTTCACACATGGGCAAGATAGTCAATGGTGAGTTGCTCATGACTATGGACTTTGAGAAAGACGATCGTCTTCAGGAAGTTGTTGATGGCCCAAGGGACGTGGATGATGACGAGGATACCATTGTGGTCAAGCCAGAACCTGGTGGAATTGGTAAGCCCAGAATAGATGCAACTGCTAAGAAATGTATTATTATCTCATTTTCTTCGTCGTGATTGGAAGTCACTTATTATTCTGGGAGCGAAAAGATGTTTGTTTTGTCATCATCGATAATCGCTTACCTTGAGAGATTGAGTCCGGAGCATTCTCATTGAGTGAACTTGGCGAGGCTTTAGGGGCCTGCAACATATCCCTTATTTTTGATGCAAACAAAAATCCGGCTCTTCTCTATCAGACTACCTCGTCTAAGCTATTTACATGAAGTTATCCTCCACGGCGACCATCTCGAGTTGCCGTACCATATTCTGCACGCCTCCTCGCTTTCGTCTCCAGCTTCGTTGAAGAGCAAGAGCCTCTGATAGCCATTGGAAGGCACGACCCAGATTAGCTCGGGTCCATGCGTGTATGTATGTAAGTATGTATGTATATATGTCTATAGCTCGAGCCTCGCTCTTTTCCTCAATCAACATCTCTTTTACTCCATATCTATCTTCAGCCCGCACGCCCCATTTCTACGATGTCTTCTCTCCTAGACCCCAGTGATCCTAGCCATAAGGATCTTCAATCTGGTCTCGCTTACTACCAGCAGATTTTGGAAAAAAGGCTTCAACGAAAGGGAGAGAGGCCAAGGGACTACCAATCCCGAGCACAGTGTATCTACCTGTTGAATAAGATTGCTTTCGAGTGCATGGTGCATGATACTCATAGCGATTATTTTGTGGTGCTAATGGCTATGGAAAACCCATATCCCCCTTCTGTTGCTGCCATGGGAGAGCTCAAGAAGCTCATGATCGAGGACCTGCAGATCGAAACCAACCACCGCGGCTCCTATATTCTCCTCAGGTTCGCCTATACCGCTTCACGACTCACTGATGTCACGAATGTCGCGGAAGACGAAGCCGGTTCCCCTATTCTGTTTATCCTCATCATGCAGGAGCGTGAAGCGGTCCGAAGAGCTGACACGATTCTCAAGGAGAATGGCGTTATCATCCTCAAGGAGCCTTTCTTAACGAGCGTTAAAGAGGGGGGATATTGCATCAGAGTGGACCATCCCACAGACATTGTATGGTTGGCCGAGGATGACGCCCGGATTCCGGAGAAGTGGAGGGTGAAGGCTGCCAAAATGCCGAAATCTGCTGAGCACTGGAAGATGAAGGGAAATGAGATGTTTGGTGAGGCGAGCTACTATGAGGCCATCGATATGTAAATTCCAACCATCCAACCAGCATTTCGATATCTCACGGGTTTGCAGGTACTCGAAAGCTCTTCGATCGAATCCGTCATCAGAAGAAAAGGACATGCTGCACAGAAACCGGGCTCTGGCATTCCTTCGAATCGAAGCTTACGATGCTGCGATGGACGAGATCTCGTGTCTGGCAAAAGTCGACGATAAGGGGCTACATCGATGGGCACTTGCTCTGTATGGGCTCGGCAGGTTTGACGAAGCACTGAAGGTATTACAGAGACTTGTCAGCACGTATCCGGATAGTGCCATTGGAAAGCAAGAGCTCGCTCGATGTCGCTTGCGCCTTGCGGAACAAGAGAGTGGAATTTACGATTTCCAAGCCCTCTACAAGGCAGCAAAACGACGCCCGCCACGATTGGACATTGCAACTTATCGGGGTCCGGTCGAGGTACGGGCATCGGCCGGTCGAGGCAGAGGGTTATATACCACAAAGCCAGTGCAGGCAGGCGATCTACTACTCTGCGAGAAGGCTTTCGCCTACTCTTACGCCATGAGCCAAGAGGACATCGCCAAACAATCTTCCATGGATTTGGAGACGAGAAGGCGGGAGGTGTGCTATTTGTTCCATGTACCCATGGAGAAGATTACTGTCGGCACACACCCACATATCATCAACAAAATCTCGACTCAGCTTATTCTGAACCCCTCGCTGAAACCCGCTTTCGAGGATCTCTATCACGGCGACTACCAAAGCAACACGACTCCACCGAGCGATGGTAGTACGGTGGTCGACACGTAAGACCTCTCTAGCTCTCTGATATCTGATCCTTGTGATTTGATCCTGGCTGACACTGGCCAGATTCTTGGTGGCAAGGACAGTTTACTTCAATGCTTTTCGCAGTCCTCTGACCTCGAGACATAAGACCAGAAATCCTGAGGAATACTCGGATCCATCGCTATGTACCTCGGGCCTCGTACGCATATATTCTACTTTCTCCCCATATCATTGACTGGAAACTCTCCCTCTCCTGCTGTTTCTCGCACCAGACACTGCTGACAAGCGCGAAGTGGATTTTAGCATCGTACATCAATCATTCTTGCGAGCCTAATTGCAGGCGTGCGTTTATTGGAGATGTGCAAATTGTCCGAGCTGCGAGAGACATGCCTGCCGATACCGAGATTACTCTCAGCTACATCGAGACGGACGATCCGGCGAAGATGAACCAGAGACTGTTCGATGGCTGGGGATTCGACTGCACATGTGCTATGTGTGTTGATGATCGAGAGACGCCTGCTGCTGTCAAAAACCGAAGACAGAGACTGTTCGACAAATTCAGCGCGACTACTGATGTCAAGAAGAGGAAAAGCATCATTACCCTTCTCGACAAGACATACCGGCATCCGCCAGTCGTGGTCCCGAGAATTCGCATGTACCCTGTCCACTTGCTCATGGCACTGGACGTCGTCAACCCGCGGCGGAGAGACGCCGGCGAAACAATTGGGCGGATTCTCGCCGCGTTTGAGAGCCTAGGCTTCATTATTGAAGGGGCCGTCCTTGTTCCCGGCGAAAGAATCGTCGTGCGCCGATGGGGCTTCGCTCATGACATGGTCACCATAGGCTGGTTGGAACTTTGCTCTATCTATCAAGCACTGGGAGAAGATGAGCTGGCTGAGCAAGCAAAGGAGCTCGCGCGGATCACGACGGTGTTGCTCTTTGGGGAGGATACGACGTTTAACTGGGCGAGGCTTGCTTCCTAGCCTGCAGCCCATCGCAGAGTCTGGTTGTCCAGGTGTGCCTGGTTCGAGATTTTCTCAAAGGAGGCGGCCCGATCAAAGTGTGGTATAGAAGCCGATTCATCAGATCGGGACGAGAAAGCAAAAGGATAAGCATGGCATCGTGGGAAGCGGAGCGTTTGATTCAACCCACTTATCGGTTAGATAGCTTTTGCCGTTTACATATCATGCCTGCAGCGTTACAACAATAGCGTTAATCGAATATCTTTTCTTACCGAACCTGTTCTGTTTCCCTCGGATGAGATGAGTGCGTGCAATCTGTGTCTTCCTGAGTTTTTCATTCGCTCGGACTCTCGGAGGCTCTGTTGGTTTTACCTGCTTCGGAGAGCAGAAAGTGTGTATGTGAAACCGGGTAGAGAAAAGATTCCTCGATGGATGATTGTCTGGTTCATCTTCAAACTCGACTGCTTGGAAAAGAGGAAAAGGTGAACTCGTGAAGCTCGCGAGTCTGGTGAGCTCTTGACTGGTGTGATGACAGCCAGCAAGCAAGCAAGCAAGCTACCGGTACTCGATCTGCTGCAGTAGCTGAGAATATCATATCACGTGCGTGCGAGTGTAGACCTTTTTTTATATTATGTAAAAGGAGAAGAGAGAGGGGTGGGGGAGGAGGGGAGAGGGAGGAGTGGTGATTCGAAGCAGCGTTGTTGTTGTTGTTATTGTTGTTGACTTACCTGATGATGTGTTCACAGTTAATCGAACAGTTGGAATTTCGAATTGGAAGGTTTCAGAGGCTGTTTACGGTCTTACCCGGAGCGTGCGCGAGAGGCCAGGAAGTAGGATGAGGATGTAGTACGGGGGGTTGGGGGTTGGGGTTTTTTTTTTTTTTTTTTTTTTTTTTCTTAAGGCAGAGCACACGCTGCTTAGGATACGAAGTAGGTACTCTGTATGGTCTCTCGGGACTGGCGCTATTGGGAATGAGAGAGAGAGAGGGTGTGTGTGGAGATGGAGATGAAGATGAAGATGACGAGTTCACTGGCTTGATTGTATTCGTACCTATTTCCTTGCTAGGAAGAATCCAAAGCGAACAAGAGAGAGAAATGAGTTGTAGGAGCTGGTGCATCGTGTTATCCCCCGTTGTCGCCCCCCTTCTACATCCTACATCACACATCACACATCTACCCGCGGTACGTGTCATTCCCGGAAGTAATGGAGAAACAGCATCAGCATCAGCATCAGCGTGTGTCGCTGACGGAGTGTTGTCTGCTGGGTGCAAGGCAGGGCAGGAGAGGAGGCGGCGAGGGTGTTTAGTGCTGGATTCTGTCAGTAAGGCGAGGGAGTGAAGGGGTGAGAGAGGGCGTCGGAAGAGAGAGGGGATAAGGGATCAGGGACAGAGAGGGAAGGGGGGGGGACTCGACATACAGTGCAGCAGGTGCAGCTCTCGCAGCTGGTGCAGCCGCTACATTTGGTGCAGGAGCATTCACCCATGGTTGCTTGTGTTTGGAGGTTGTGTGTTGTGTGGTGTGGTGGAGAGATATGTGTATTTGTGGATGTGTATTTGTGGATGTGTTTATGTGTATGTGTATGTGTATGTGTATGTGTGCGGAATCTCAAAAGCTGTTGATGAATAAGAAAATATATATATATATAACGAAGGAAGATAGAGAGAGAGCAGAGAGGTTTTTATATCTATCCCCCGTACGTCGTCTTAGGAGACAAGAGAGACAAGAGACAAGAGGAGAGAGGCATGTGATAGTAGCAAGCACGGCCTTCACCCAGTCTGTGCAACCACCATCTGCACTTCCCCAGTTCCGCAGCACGAATCGCGTTACGTCCCTCTCTGCAGCGGGAGTGAGATGCGGAGGGTCAGAGACAGAGTGGTGGGTTGGGAGCTGGTGGTACTCGAGGCCACGTCTTACACTGCAGCCACGGTTCATGCAGTGCCGGTGGGTGTTGTATTGTGTTCTGTTGTGTTGGGAGAGACAGACCTGTGAGCCTGTCAAGTGATATCAGCTCTGAGAAGAAGGGAGGAAAGGGATTACCAATAAGGAGCTCGATATCACGAAACATATATGCATGTGCAGCTATGAGCCGTGTGGCACGTCTGGTTCAAGATGAAAGGAATTGCCACGTCCGCTACTTGGGAGCGTGGGGGTTCGGGAGCGCGAATATAAGCGAGTGAGTAAGCGAGGTCGAAACAAAACATCGGCAGCGTCCTGGTGCGTGCGTGCAGATTTTTCAAGCAGAGGAGAGGTCCGGAGAAGCGTTGCGTACGTGACGACGTGGCCAAAGGCATGTGTAGGGTGGAATATAGCGGAAGAGGAGAAGGCCTCGACGGTTTCATTATCCACATGTCAGTCAGCCTGCCTGCATACCTGCCGTCCGAGCAGAAGATGAGGGCCACTGAGGGAGGGATGATAAGCAGGTGATGGTATTCCGCAACCTGTATACGAAGTACATGCAGCGCTTTCTTTCCTCCATGCGGCAGGAAAGTAAAGGCAAATCAGTAACAACAGACTAATAAATGAAATACTAAAAAGATCCGCAGAGAACGCTTAAACGCTCGCCTACCTACTTGACAAGCTCTCCAACCAGAGTAAATAGTAAACACTTTTAAAACAAGAATCATCTACAAAGCAAGGGAGGGAAGACGGGTGGGCGATAAGTAGAGCGAAACCTTGATATCTTCTGTCATTTTCTTCGAGTTGGAAAAGTAGTGTTGAGAAGTGATGGGAAGTGATGGGAAGTGATGAGAAGTGATGAGAAGTGATAAGAAGTGATTCGATGAACTCCAACTCCCAATTTGCAAGCAAATTCTCGAATCTCATCTTTCATTTTATTTTAGTTTTGAGCCATTCATCCATCCGCCTTCTCTTTCATCGCACTGCCTGCCCTTCCTTCTTTGCGCCTCTGCCCCCTCTCCCTCTGTTGACACTTGGGCTCGCCTCGCTCGCTTCGCTTCGCTTCCCGCCCCCTTTTTGCAGGCAGACGAGCGCGCTCTCCATTTCTTCTTTCCCACCATATCGGTGAGCCGCGCCGCGCTGATAAAATTATTACCGGTGGGTGATCCGGTCTTAGAATTTCCTGCTCCTACTCCTGCTTCTGCTCTGCTTCAGGGAACACCCACAGCTTCGCGAACCCCACATGCCCTAGCTAGTCCCTCGCCCTATCCAAAATGCTCATATCCGAGATGCTGTCCCCCCCCCTCTCTGTCTTTCCCAAGCATTATTTCTTTTAGTACATCCATCATCCAAGTGCGACCCCCCCACACACATTCTGAAATCCTCGTGTCGATTCCCACACTTTCGTCCCCCGTCGTTCAAGATATTACGAAACAGATTTCAAGATGCCTCGCCCATTTGCAACATGTGGCCCATCTTCTCAATCTGCATCTTCTCGTCAGCAACGCAACCCCCCGAGAAAAGAGGAGCACAGGAGAGCATACCTTGGTCTTCAGATACCCCCCCACCTCCTGACTCCTGATCCCCCCGTGTGCTCCCCTCCATGCAAGCGGGATCATAGCCACCCGCTCCTTCACCACAACCTCCCTCCCCGGCCCCTCGACGGCCCTGACCTTATCGGGATTATTTGTCAACAGCCGCACGTTCTTCACCCCGAGATCGACCAGCATCGCCGTCGCCAGCCCGTAACTCCTGGCATCCGCCGGATGCCTCAGCAGCAGATTGGCCTCCACAGTATCACTTCCCAGATCTTGCAGATTATACGCCTTCAGCTTCTCCCCCAACCCGATCCCCCGCCCCTCCTGCCTCAGGTACACAATGACTCCTCCCCCAGACCCGGGCAGCGACATCAGTCTCGCCGCCTCGTCCAACTGCTCCCCACAATCGCAGCGCGCCGACCATACCGTCTCGCCCGTGTAGCACTCGCTGTGTATCCGCACCAGCGGCGGCTCCTCCGTCCGCGCAACCTGCGCGTCCTCACCCGCCACCGCCTCGGCCATGCTGCTCGTCGTCCGGCCCGGGTACAAGCGCCCCGTGTACGCCCCCCGGATCAGACGATCCATCTCCGTCTCGCCTTCCCTCACCCGGTCCAAGCTGCGGCTTCGGATCGTGTTCCCAAACACGATGGCCAGGTGCTCCTTGCTATCCTCGCTGTTCTGGTACAGGTGCAGGAACATCTCGGTCCCAGATCCGCCGATGGTGGTCGGGATCCGGGCGCGCACCACGCAGTGGACCGTCGGGAGCGTCTTGAGCAGTTTGGGCTTCTTCTGGCCACAGCCGCCATCTGCCGCGCTGGAGTCAACGGGCACGGATTTGGGGAGGTGCTGGGCCTGCGAGCGGGCGGGGGTTTGGGTGCCCATTCCCGGCGTTGACGGGGGCGTGAAGGCTGGGGAGACGAGGTCGGGCAGCTCGCCGGTGATTTCGATATCCGTTTCGGCATCGGATTCGTGGTGCCGAGGTGTGGCGGATTGGTCCTGGACCTGGACGGCGAGCGAGGGGTGGTTGAGGGAGAGGGAATTGAGGTCGAGTTCGGAGATGGCGCGCGACACGGGAATTGGCCGCGGCGAGTAGAAAGGCGGTAGTTGGGGGACGACATCGTTTTCGTCGACACTGTGAACGTTATATTTGGGGTTGAGGTTGGGGTTGGGGTTGTGGTTGTGATCCCAAGAGGTGGAGGAGGAGGAGGGCGACGAGGGGTTACTGGGGGAGGAATTGATCATGTCGGGCATTGTAGCGATGCGGCGGTGATGGGATCAATAGACAGAGAAGAATAGACCGGACAGCGTCAATGCGACCACAAGAAGAAGAGAGCGAGGTGGGTGTTCTGGTGGTGGTGGTGGTGGTGGGTGGCATTGGAGATAGAGACGTGGAAGATGATGCTGAGATCAAGAAGAAAGAAGGCGGAGAGTGTCGGAGGGCGGATGCCGAGAGTCGGATGCGGGAGCCGAGGTCAGCTTACAGTTAAGGGGTCCTCTAGACCGATATACGCAAATTATGTAATTTTTATTCTTTATTTTTTATATAACGTATATATATATGTATATATATATATATATTTGTATACGTGTATACATGTATATAGCAATATTCCGTTTCGTTTTTATTTAATCAGTTAAGATGTACTCTAGGCCTTCCGATAGACGCAAACCATGCCATTTTTTCTTCTCTCTCTCTCTCTCTCTCTCTCTATATATATATATAAACGTGTAGATATGTATATAGCTATACTCCATTTCATTTATATATAATTACCGTTTGAATTACCGAATTGAACAAGCCCGTCATACAAAATCAACCCCCCCCACCCCAATTCCTGCTAACCACCACCGGTTATGAGCCCACCCCCCATCCAAAGCCTCAAAAGCCCCTCGTGCCACTCTTCTCGTCAATGTGTCGATATCTCTCCTTCTCCTTGCGGTCCTTGAGCAGGATGGCCGTCGCGAGAATGAAAACCACATCGATACCCACGATGCCAAAAGCGCCCGTGAAGACGATGTCCAGGAAGTTGTTGGCGAAGCTGGACAAGGGCCCGACACAACCACCCTCGGCGGCCGCCACCAGGTTGTCGACACACGTCGCATCGACGACAAATGGAGGCGACGTGCTGTTGAGATATCCGCAGCAGGCGAACTAGAGCCGCCGAGAGTTAGCAGAGACTCCGAACAGGACAGAACAGGACAGGACGCTTCCCAGCCCACGCACCTCTTGCTGCAGGAGACTCTGGATAGAAGGAGGCTGGCTCTTCCAGATGGTGAACAGATTCTCTCGCGTCTTCAACGTCTCAAACCAGATCGTCAGGCCGATGACCATCGTGACCAGTCCCGAGATCACCGTCAAGTACCCGGCGAACTTCAGCCACCCTCGACTCGTTCGCATCACAATCGCGGGTACGGTCATCAGAAACGTGAAGAAGACCAAGATGGCGTTTCCAATCGCGGCTGTTGTTCTCGGGATTAGTTTTTGCATCGTCTTCCACCGGAAGTCGGCAGGGGAGTTCCACGAACCGTTCAAGGGACACATATCGAGGAGCAAATCCCGCGCCACATTGTCCGCCGTCTTCTGCTCCGTGATCTCGAACTTGGTCGTGAACGCAAAGATGATCAGAAGTCCACCCGTTGCCACGAACAGGACATCGACCAGGAAGTACGTGAGGAGGATGTTGTCCCGGGCCATTTCGACGATAGGCCGCGATAGCGGGTTGGAGAGTTGCAGATTCCTTTCCTTCACAAAGACGGATGACGACCGGCGTCTGGCAATCCCAAGTGCTGCTCGGGAGCCGTGCGATGGTGGATGGATACGGTGGAGATGCGCCCGATGTCGACGTCGATGTCGATGTCGATTTCGATGGAGATGGAGATGGAGCCGAAGAAGAATGATCAATTACAAAAGATGATGTAGAAGCGCCGCGAGGAAAGAACTAAACACACACCAAAGAAAGGATCGTCGGGAGAGAAGGAAAGACTTGCACTTGCCCTTGCGTTTGCAGTTGCATTGTGAACGGATTCTTTGGCACACGGTAGGCCTCGAAGTTGGAGGCCGTGCAGGTGCGGATGCAGGTATCCTCGACAGCTGGTGTTTGAGAAGCGCATCAGCCTCACATCCGAGGCACTCCATTGATCGATGCAGGCCACCGACTGGTCTGGTCTCTGCGGAGGCCGAAGTAGTTTGGGGTTTGGGGTTTCAGGTTAGAAGTGACGGGAAGTGGTGATGGTGATGGTGATGCTTCGCTTGTCGGCTAGGTTGGTCAGGTAAACAAACAAACAAACAGCACGATGTGCAAGGAGAGTAGTGATCATTGCTTTTTTTTTTCTTCATATATATCTGGGGACCCATCGGCTGCCTATCTATATGCTGTCATCTAGCTAGCACAGTCTGGAATTGAGGATTGGAGAGCGAAACTTCGTATGATCCTTCGTTGGCTGCTCCCCATCCACGGCCATGGAACATGGTGGGCCGTGTGGTGACGGGCGAAAACCATCCCTCTCACGCTTGTTGCTATATAACTCACATCGGCTTGCGGTTTGTTGTCGACACAATTCATGAGATAGATGGACGGCCGCAGCTGGCGCCCCAGGGACACAGACCAGACACCAAATGAAACCCGGCTTCGCTCTCGCCGCCCTCCCTCCAGACAGGACCTCAAAGATAATAGGATGTTGACCTCACCGGCCACCACCGGCCACCGAGGCAACATGGGGCTCAAGATGTTGCTCTTGATCCATTGAATCCATCAATCATAGTCGTTGCCGCAGTTGACGACAGCAATAGCGGAGGTCGTCCAGGACAGCTCGCTAAAGATGGATTTACTCTGCAGCCAGATTGCATGCAAAGCTTGCCGGCTCGGACCCTAAACTTTCGCTCTCCTGAGCCAACAACCAAGCCACCTCACTCCAACTCAATCCCTAAACACCCATCCCATCCGACAAGAAGTATAATCGACCGCCAACATGGGACTCTGCAAGCTCACCACCTTTGCCCTCCTGGCGCTGCGTGCCGTCAGCGTCTCTGCTGCCGATGCCGTAAGTCGATGACCAGTTGCAAGCTCCCTCTGGCTGTCTTCAGACAATATACTTACCTATATATACATATATATACATGCACACACACACCAAAAACCTCCAGTTGCTAATTCATTGACTTCCGCAGGTCGAAGAGGGAGCCGCCAGTCCATCCGCGACCCCCAACCTGGCCGTGTCAGCCTCTGCCTCGTTCCCCAACTCCGAGGTCTTCGGCGTGAAGCTCATCAACGGCCATGCAACCAAGGCCGTCCTGGACTTCACCAACAGTGAACCGGAGCCGGTCACCATTGCCCTCGTCCGCGGCTCCTTGTCGACCCTCAAAGCGCTGCCCGCAGATGCGCCGCTCAGCGCTGCTATCGTGCGCAATCTGACGGCCACCCGATACGGCGTGGAGGTTCCCGCTGGCACCAAACACACCATCCCGTATACCTTCACGACCGATATGAACCCCATCGACCTCCGTCTCAACCTGATTGCGGTTGTCTCGAGCAAGGCGGGGACCGTGTACCAGATCCAGGCTTTCAACGAGACGGTCAGCATCGTCGAGGCGCCGACCAACATCTTTGATCCGCAGATGTACGTCCCCCGATGAAAAGTCCTCGGCTGATTACTACTACTGACCGCTGCGCAGCATCTTCCTCTACCTGATCCTCCTCGCTGCATTCGTCGGCACCCTCTACTTCGCCTACAAGTCCTGGATCGAAACCCTCTTCCCACAAGCCAAGCGCGGAGGCAAGGGTGGGGAACGCGCGAAGCGCTCCTCCGGAGGCTCCAAGAAGGCGGTCCCTGTCGAGGAGCAGGTGTCTGTGATCGGAGCGGATGGGCCGGCGGTCACCACTGCGGTGGAGGCCCAGAAGGCGTACGACGAGAGCTGGATCCCCGCCCACCACATCAACCGCCCGAATGCCAAGCGCGTCAAGAGCGGCGCATCGACCAAGAAGTCCAAGTTCATCGAGTAGGAATCGGTCTTGGGGGAGACGGCGTCTGACGAGGTGTATGAGTATACGGGGTGAGGCCAATGCACGAGAGAGTGTAGATGGGATCAGGGTCGGTGCATCCGGGGTGTATGCGGTGGGATGCCAACAGGACAGGACGAAAGAAAAGCATAGTTTAATATACACAAAAATCTATATCACAAGCAGGCGTGGTCACATTTCGTCTGGGTGAAGTCGTTTTGGAGACCCACGCCACGGCCAGGGCTCGCCCGACGGATATCCTGCCGGTGTCTGCGGCCGAGACTCGAAAAAGGCCCTTGAAATCACTCACTCCCTCACTCACTTGCCAACTACTGGTGAGCGCGTCCTGCAGGCCAAGTAGGTCGGTACTGTAGCCAATATCAACAAAGGTATCGGTTCAGAACCCCCCTATCCATCTACCTATCCCACCTACCTCACCTAGGTTTAAGTAAGTACCTAGGTAGGCTGGGAAAGCTCACTAGAGCAGCATTTTGGGCTAGGTCGTAGTAGTAGTAGTAGTAGTAGTAGTAGTTCTTTCGAAGCATGGAATTTGCTGTATCTGTATGTTTGTTTACCTCTCTCCCTGGCGAGGAAAGACAGGGTGTATGTGTGTGTGCTTCTCAAAAGTTTATCAGCCTAGCCGTTTGTATACAGTAGTATATTTACGAGATACTACTTACTTACTTACCGGTACTTACTTACTACCTACTTACCACCTCTTGAGAGGCATATCAAATGTTGCTACCGGTATTATACCCGGACCTAACTAAGGTAGAGTTTACCTACCTACCTACCTACCTACCTACCTACTTACTTACCTATCTATCTACTCGCCGGTCCGAAATTTTTTTTATAGAAGAAAAACAGATCCCCCCGACCTGCGCCGGGTCGGAAGCTTTTCGACTCGTTTCCTGGGAACCGACGAGCGAGCGAGCACGGGATATGATTAGTTCCAAGAGCTTTCTTTGCTTGCAAGAAGTGTACTTTTGCCTGTATGCAAGGAACCATCGGCATTGATTTCATCATTATTGACCTTTAATCAAAAGAAGTACCTAGACGGTTGGTTTATCTCTGGTCTCTCGGTTTCGATGAAAACTCTCTATAAGCAAACAGATGCAGATTGATACGGATATAATGGGACAGTTAGTTGTGATAACAAAATCGCTGGGTGCACGTGGCCACGGCGAGCTACTAAGATTTTATTAAACAGAGAAGCAAAAGAGAGGGATGGAGGGTGAACAGAAAAACAAAAAAGGTGCTATGTAGGACCGTGCAGGGATCGAACCTGCAATCTTTTGATTAGGGAAGTTAAGGGATGAAACAATCGAAGTCAAACGCCTTGCCATTGGGCCAACGGTCCTGTGTTGTGGTCTTAGTAATTGATGGAGAGAGGCTTCACTATTTAAAATATGTTCTCACCTTTAATTTATTAAAAACCATGCAGCTTCAATTGGGGGCGTAAAGCTTTCTTCTTCTTATTTTTCCTCACACGGAATAAAGGAAGAGTTTTACACTACAGATCACAGTTACTAACGCTCACACACACACATATAATCATCCTGCGCTGCGCAGATACCGATAGCAGGAATGAAACAGAAGAAAGCTCGGCTGTATATTCCATCCCGCACTTGATTTCTCATCACCCCCAACTACGGTACCTATACCGATATCTCACCTTCTCTAGACCAATCGTCGGTTACCTTGAATTTAGTTTGTAAAAAATCCCGACCAGGCGCGGGGGGGGAGGTAATAGATACATATAATTCTATAATTTTGGGGGGGAAAAGACGGCCAAATGCAATGAATGACCATATATTCAAAGGCACCTGTCGAGTCCGAATGAATAGCTCGAGTAGTGCGAGACACTGGGAGACAGAGTGAGACGATTCTTTCTTCCGGACTCACCGGTCAAGCGAGCCAGGCCTCACCACACACACACACACGCACACATCAAAATCCACGGCCAAAAGCCCAAAACAAATAAAAACAAAAATAAAACGAGCGGCAAAGCTCGCCCATGGGCAAATACTGAAAATGCTCCGTAGCTGCTTCGAAAAAGCAAAAACACACTCCCTTCCCCATCCTTCCCCGTCTGTCTGTCCTTTGAGCACCCAAAATTGAGCTTGCAGATCGTGCCCACTTCTGTGGCGGGGGGGACCTGTTGTGTAGAGAGGATGATATTTCTAAGTTCTCTTTGGTAGGAGAAGTCTATGTACCTCCTTTAGCGTGCACGTGCTCCCAACAGGCCTGACAGCCTCAGGCCATCACATGACCCTATCTTACGAGGTTCTCGACCCGAGGACCTTTCTTCTTAACTAAGTGCTCAATGCTTATTACTCCTTTCAAAGGAATTTTAAACTCCGCTAAGGTATCGTTGCTTAACTCCTATAGTTCCCTTCTTCACTCGCTTCCTGGTTTCCTTTGCGCCAATATCAATGTTCCTTGATAACTCCTACTAAAATCTCTAAACTCCATCTTCCCTTCATCTCTTCACCCTTCCTAATGTCTTGCGATCGTCCCAACCAACTTCTCTTTCTCCTTCCTCTTCTTCTTGAGCTCCGATGGCAGCGAATGTTCCGAAGTGCCAGCCCTCAGATTCTGGTACTTTAGCAGTCTCTTTTCCTCTCTTGTTATTAAATAGGAAGTCCGCAAGTAAAATAGCTTTAGTTGGTCTATATAAAAGTGTCGTAGTATCGCTTTCCTGTTGATCTGTTCTAAGATATATGATCTCCTATGCTCACCTCTTAAGCTTGATACCTTAAATAAGCCTCTCCAAGATGGTCTGAGTTTCTGCCCAGCTGCTCTCTGGTCGTACAGCATCACAAGAGATCTTGGTAGCAGACTCCTAACTTTCTAAGAGAATGGTTTTTTCCTTTTAAGGCTCTCTCGGACGTTTTGCTTAATGACCTCGTAACCCGCGATGTATTCTAAGACGGCGTTCCCCTAATCTTCTGTTTCTGCAAAGTCTACTCTTCATAGTTCGTCTAAGAACCCTTTGTCTAAGAGTGTCTCGTAGATGATCTTCGCATAGTACGCTAGAAAAGCTAAGTCTATTGCTGCTCTAAGAGTGTGTCCTCGATAGATCTTGAATAGTAAGTACCTTAAGTGAAAGATCTCTCTCGCGTTCGTCTCGAACATCACCTCCTTGAACTTGTCTTCGAATGCTCCTTTAGTCTTCGCTATCGCTCTTTGCACTATGTCGACCGCCTTCTCCGCTATGCCTGTTGATTTCTTCGATGCTGATAAGAAATTAATCTACAAGACTCCTCTCTTGCCCACAAAATTCCGAACTGTATCGCTAAAGTAGCTACCGAAGTCGATATAGAATCCGATTGGCGTTCCATCCTGGTCGAACAGTTTTGTGAGACAGCGTATAACGTTTTCTGAATCGAGTGCGATACAAGGGAACGCCTAAATGAATCTCGAGAAGTAGTCTATAATGATTAGGAAGAACCGAAATGTTTCTGGCACTCTTAAAAAAGGTCCGCAGAAGTCTGCTCTAAGAAGTTCTATCGATCTCGAGACCACCACGCTAGATAATGGTTAAGATCTTATAGCGGTGCCGTGCTTCGCGCAGTCTAAGCATCCTAAGATATACAAGTACACGTCTTTAGTCATGATAAGCCACTATACGTTTCTCAATTTCTTTATAGTGATAGTGATAGCGAAGTGACCTCCTTAGTCATAAGCCGTCCGAAGCGCTTTCCTAATATCCTCGAGCGTTAAACATGTTCTCTACACTTCCTTCTAATAGTACTATAATGTTTCTTCTTCCTACTTATAAGAGCTCGCTTTCGTTTGCAGTCTCTTTTGCTTGACTTTGTCCGAGTCTATAAAAAAGATGCCGTGAGCAACTAAGTTAAAGATATCTGTGTACTACGGGCATTGTCGGTAAGCCTCTTCTCGAAAAAGAATTATGTTTGGTATCTTTAAAAGATAGGTAAGCATAGTGTTAGTCTAGGTAAGCATCGATTGCAAATGGTTTAACATCGGGATCCCTTTTCTTGACATCGGTTCTAACCTAGCAACGTATCTCGGTCCTCTTGCTCGACAAAGAGCTGACACGAACTTGACGTCTCCTTAAGCTCTTCCGGATAGTTGTAAGATAGACTTAAGTTCTAGCATATGTCTTACTGCGTTGACCTTCTCCAATTCCAAGTCTTTCAATAGGTTCCCTACTTCCTCCAGCAGCTATCTATACCCCCTTTTCCCGTCTTTCCAGATCCAAACTCTATCTTTGTTTATCTTCGAGATCGTCTCGAACTTTCCGAATTCTAAACCTCGACAATTATCTCTTGAGAAGATCGTTCTAGATAAAGCGTCGGCAACTTGGTTTCTATAGCCTTCGATATATTATATCGTTATATTAAGATTCCTCAGCTCGCAGGCCTATCTTGCGTAAATCCCTTCTTGTGCTGACTTGAAGTCTAAGAAGTGTGTTAATAGTCTGTGGTCGGTGAACATTATGCTTGCCTCATCGCATTTCAGCATATAGCTGTATTTGCGGCAGAATTCGACCATCACTAGCAGCTCTCTCTTGTATATCCTATATTAGCGTTGTGTTTTCGTCAAAGTGAAGCTATCAAATAGCAAAGGTGCCTCGTCTCCGCTGTCTTGTGTTTAAGTAATGCAGCATCCTCTAGCATAAGCACTCGCATCTGTATATACCAGCACCGATTTATTAAGTACATAACCGAATCGTTCCAAGGCTCTGCTGCAAAAGTCTTTTAAGATGTTAAAAGACATGCATTCTGCTTCCTCCCACGTCCAGTCTACCTCGCCTATAAGCCGATTAAAAGAGCGGGCAATCTTTGCGAAATTTTTAACCCAATTTCTAATGATCTAGATCGATCCCAGAAAGCGTCTTGTCTCTTAAGCATTGCGAGAGGTAAGCTAATCCTTGATGCTCTATGCTCTCTCTTTCTTTATTATTGCTCTCCTACTTGATTTGTATGTTACTCTCAGTACTATAACCTCAGTCATAAACAAGAAACATTTCTTAAAAGTAAGCTTCAATTGCGACCATAATAAGCGTGGCAACCAGTGTTGTTCCAGGAAAGTGAACGCTTCCTCAAAGTTCCTTGCTCTTAAGAAAACGTCGTTCATATAGTACTTCAGCTTTGGTAAAGATGCATCGTTGTCGTCGAGTATAAAGGAGAAAAGTAAGGGTTCCGAGTCATCAAATCCTTCGTCCATTGCTCTCTAGGACTTTAGTATCTCTCCGAGTACAGTCTTCATCAATTCATTAAATATGAAAGCCGAGCTTCCTCCTCTTTAAGTCATCCGAGTTGATTGCAATTAAAGGTGACTTAATATAGAAAAGGCGTAGACATAGCGGTCGTCAAGGTGGATAAACACCGACCAGTACCCGTGTTTAAGATCCATTTAAGAAAACACTTTATATTAAGGATAGTTCAAGTACTCGTAGCATTCCCTTAGCCCAACTAGTGTGCATCTTAAGATCTTCTCCTTCACTTTTAAGTAGTCGAACGTGACTCGGAACTCACTTTTCCCGGGTTTTAATTCTTCCGACTTCTAGATCAGGTTCGGGTGGCTATTCCAGTCACTCAGCCTCCCATTTGCAAGCATTGTGCTCTTAAATATACCATTCCTCACTCCTTCCTCAATCGTCTTGTGTAGCTATGCTAGTTTTATAGGTAGGTATCGTCTCGGAACGTTGTCTGCCACTAAGGTAGCTCCTTTAAGAACCCTATATCAGTAAGTAATAAGGTCTATGTAAGGGAAATCATCGAGTCCTGCGCTATTCACTCTTCGATATATATACATCAAAACTTAAACATCCCTCAACCTATCTGATAGGATTCCATCTCTAAAAGTGAGTCCGCATTTTGTTGCCCACTCTTCTAGTACGAAGGATCCTAAGTCTTCACGTAGTAGTCTGGTGACTCTCCTTTCTATCGGGAAAATCCTTATTACTAAGTAGACCTCACATAGTCTCGACTGGATCCTTAGTGTATTGTTCCTCGTAGTCCTAGTGAGTCTTAAGGCTTTAGTCTCTAAGAGTAGTGTTTGCAAGTTTCTCTCATCGATCTGTATAAAGGTGAATTCCTTAAGTAATGTCTAGTAGCACTGTGTAAAAGCTAAGGTTGAGGTTCCTTATGTTATGGGACTGTTGTTGCATTATTCAAGCTAAAAGGGTTGCTTGGTAAGGGTTCTCTTAGCTCGAAGGTGAACTCCCTTTCGTTGGATGAGTTTTACGCTATCGCTAAAGCGGCCCAAGTGACTTAGTTTTCCGAGTCTTCCGAATCGTTTAAGTTGTCTGAGTCTAACTCATGTTTCGTGTCTATCGTAGAAAGGTCTGACTCTAACGGTTCGAACTTCACTGTCAGGTTGTCGAAAGACTTCTTGGATTCCTCTTTAAGCTGTAAGACCAGGTTGATCCTTTTTAATGGTCCGAAGAGAAGGCATTAGATCACCACCTGCTTCTCTCCTAGCACGTTGCCACCGATTATAAGCTTCCCGGCTCGAATCTCCAACTTAGCGTCTACTATGTACATCCATGTCAAACCCAATAGCAAGCTCAATTCTGTGTCCTTCACTCTTGCGTCCTCTCTAACGAAGACGTCGACCTATCTCCATATTCCTTCCACTCTTATCTCGATCGTAACGAATTTTGTCAAGTCGTAGACCTCTCCGTCTGCTGTGCCAAAGCTGACTCCTTCGTAGTTTGCTAATGCTAGTGATTTGGACTTCAGATTCAGCTTCTTCGCAAAGCTAAAGAACATCAATACGATATCAAAACCTTGATCTACCGCAGTCATCCTTACAAGCAACTTTATCTCCACTGTCTTCTTCTCTGTCTTTGTGCGTATGCATGATACCACTCTCCAAGCCTTCTCGTCGAGATGTATATACGAGCAGATCTAAGATAATGTCGATTTAAGGTTTGCTTGGCTCCCGGCCGCTAGTATCGTCTGCGATTTCCCCTTCTTCACATTCTTTCTTATAAACAACTTCCGGAACTGTTTAAATACCTCTAGTGATAGCTAAAAGAGCTCTAAGAAGTTGATAATCATCTCGAATTTCGCCGCTAAATCGCCGTAGTCTATCGGTCCTTTCCCTTCGCGGCCTACGATCTCTCTCAGCTGTCTTAATTTCTTGCTTCTTATCTCTACCTTATCTTTCGTAAGAGCTTTCTTCGGGGCTGGCTTCTTAGCGTTCTGCTTAACGACCTCGACAGTGTCTATATCATCTGATGCTCTTACCACTCTCTATCTCTTCTTCGATCTACTATCTGCCATCCTCACATTGACATTCGTAGCGTCTTCCTCATCTGAAATGGCCACTTTGTATTTAAGATCTCCGACGCTTCTCATCTTGCACTCGGTATTAGTCTTAATAGTCTCGTCGAGTATCTTTTCTACCGAAGCTGTCCTGTAGCTATCCGTATACTATTAAAAGGACATGCTCATGGTGCTTGTTAGTGTGTTCATCCTTGAAGTAGAGGCATTAGAGCTTGAGCTAGACAAAAATAGCCCTTCGCTAATAATCTCAAGATAGTGTGCTGTGACCGTCTTCTTTAGGTAGCAGATTCTTTTAAGATAGGCCTTTTCTTAGTCTTAGAGTTGAGCATTAGAACAAGCTGTCTTCAAGTGGCCGGTCTGTCCATAGCCTATGCACAAAAGTCCATCTTTCGATCTGTTATAGATCTTCGATTTGTTGATAAACTGGTTTTTAGATTCAGATGCTGGTCGAAGTGGTGCAGAAAGCGGGTCGCTTAAAGGTGGTAAGCGTGGAAGCAGTTGCTGTCCAATTTGTCTGTTGATAGTTGGGTTGCTCTAGGTCTAGGAGTTTGTGTACTCGCTTTAGTAGTTCGGTCTCTAGTTGTTTCCTTGATATCCACTTTGTCTTTGTGCTTGAGGAGAGGGGGCATTCTGCTATAGAGTTATTAGGTTCCTATCCTGTCTTGGTTCTAAGATGCGTTGGGTTGGCCTCACAAGTTGAGCGGGCAGTCCTGGATTGGAGCCTGATAGGGCGGCGACGTATAAGGTATCTTGAAAAGATGCTAAAGCTACTTGTGCTAGGACTCCGGCATAGTGCTCGATATACCTTTGCATTCTCTCGTACATCTTGATCTTTTCTATGTCCGACTCAATCTTCTTTTATGCCTTGAATGCACTTTGAGAGAGAACGAGAGTTTCGTATGCCTTCTACAAGCAGAGCAAGAGCAAAGCATTGTTGGTCAAGGCTAATATCCGAAGCTTGTCGTCTGTAACTCCTTTAATAAAGGCCGACGTGATAGACTTGAGTATATACTTATCCGAATCAAACTGATTCGTCATTATTGATGGTGCTTCGTTCTTCTCCAGATCTCTTCCTCCAGTCTTCTTTAATAGCGCGACCGTTCGTAAATAATAAAATGCGAGACTTTCTTATAGTCTTTATTATAAGTTAAAGACTTCGGCGATCACGTCTTGCTCTTCTATCAGTTCCTTATCATTAGGAAATTGCGTCTTCAGCTATTCCACCACTTCAGCCTTCTCCTTCTTTATTGCTGTAGTGCGGTTAGTCATGATGTATCTCATTCTCATATTAGATCTGAACTTCTTGCTAGCTTCTTTTATCAGCAAGATTAAGATTGCTTTAAAGTACGTTGAAGGGGAGGGGTTATCGGAGCTATCGACTTCGAAATCGTAGTCTAGTCGGTCTAGCCACAGCTCAGCCGGCATCTCCTTATCGTAATCCTTACAACGATCGAACCTTAGCATCCTTGAGTTCGACATCTTGTCCGTTGCTTTAGGTCGTGGTGTAGTGGTGGTAAAAGGGGGAGTGAGATAATAGTTCTGCAATTGATTAGTTGCTTGAGTATCTTATTGTTGCCCGGTCTTCATAAAGGCATCTGTGTCATAAATTTTTATGTCGATCTTAAGCACGAACTTAACACTTGGTCGGTCTTAAGGGTTAAAAAGTAGTGATTAAGTCTTAGTGTTTGATAGTTGCGGTAGTAAGGTTATTAATCTTGCCAACCATGGATATGTTCGTAAGGGAAAGTCAGTGATCAGCTTGTGCTATGCTTGTTGTTCTGAAGTGGAAAGTATCGAGGCTATTGAAAGTGAGCTCGCCTGCCCCTGGTTCGATGATAATGTTGATGATGAAAGTTGAAAGTAATGGATTTTCTCTTCGTATTTCCTTTCCGAGTCTGTTAAGGAAAGTAAGCCGAAGCGGAGTTCTTTTGTTCCTTCCTCATGCATTTATCTGGCTTGTAGGTCGTTGTTGCTTTCGTTGGTCCGTGATTTCTTTTTTGTGGGTCCGTGGTTTTGGTTGAGGTGGTGGTAAGGCGGTGATTTGTCGATAGACTCTTCGAAGGGGGGGGGGGGTGGAGCTGAAGTTGTTTCTAATAATTGTATTCTTAGTGTATTGCTTAGGCTCCTTGTCTGCGAATCAAAGGATTGTCAGGTCGGTCGCTGCGTAGGTCACCACTTCTGTGGCGAGGGGGACCTGTTATGTAGAAAGGATGATATTTCTAAGTTCTCTTTGGTAGGAGAAGTCTATGTACCTCCCCTAGCGTGCACGTGCTCCCAACAGGCCTGACAGCCTCAGGCCATCACATGCCCCCATCATTTAGGCTCTTCCGGAACTTTCAAAAAAAAAGAAAAAAAAAAACTTTGTTGTGACCTACGCAAGGATCGAACCTGCAATCTCTTGATACCGACCGGACCGCAGCCCGGGTCGTAGTCAAGCGCCTTGCCATTGGGCCAGCAGGCCGAACGAAGAGAGTTTGATGCTTCCGAATGAACATCTTTGTTATAAGTACGAATTGTCAAAAGTCACAACGGAAGACCCGCTTTTCGTGCGTGGTTGGGTCGCTGATGTAAGTTACTTGCTTACTTACCTACTTCATCTTCGTCTTCGTCTTGATCTTCGTCTTCAACTTTAACTCAACTTTATCTTCAACCTGCCCATTCCGGAGACGGCTTCATTCCAAACGCCGTCGAGTCTCGAGTCTCAAGTGTTAGTATTTGCATCCGAAATCCCGATCAGATTCGGATGCCATGTGGAAGCGAGATGGAGCTCTCGCGCTTAGATGATGCTGGCTGGCTGTCCGTCTGTCCGTCCGTCGGTGTGTGTCTTGTCTGTTCCGCATGGATGCATCGCTGCCGCTGCACAATCCTCGGATATCGAAGCCATGTCTATTTATCCATCCGACTTGGGAAATATATATATATATATTTCTATTGAAAATAGAATGGTCAATTCCGCGACAGTCGTATAAATATATATGAGGAACGGAGAGTAGAAAGGAAGGGAGTGAGTGCGTGCGTGCTGGATGGCACGTCAGAAGGAGAAGCAGAAGACGAGGATGAAGAAGACGAACATGAAGAAGACGAAGATGAAGAAGACGAAAATGAAGAGAATGATGAAGAAGAGGAAGAGGCTCGCTTTGCTCATTTTCAAATATCCATCACATTTTTCGAACGGCCCAGCCATCCGACCCAACCCAGCGCAGCTTGCCTCGAAGCTCGAAGCTCGAAGCTCGAAGCTCGAAGCTCGAAGCCCAAAGGTCGACGGTCGTCGTCGCAAGACTCACGCACCACCTCCGTCCATCTTCCAATTCCCAATTCCCATCGCGAATCTCCGGCTATCCCATCCTCGCCTCCACCAACCTCCTCCGCCACCTCGCCTCAGCTGTCCCCAGGTGCGAGCGCCGTCACCGTCCCCCCGGGGCGAGGTTGACATCGAAAACTTACGGCTTGCGACACTTGTAAGAAGAGACGGCGTTCTCCGCAAACTTCAGAGCGCTAGCCTTGAGATTGCCCTGGCCTCCATTCCACGAGAAATAGCCCGATTTCTCCGCACAGTCGAGTCCACTATCGCCTCTGTCAGCCAGCCGCCCGTCCACGCCTCGCGCGCTCCAGAAGAACAAGAGCCGTGCCGCGGGGATACGACGGAGAGGGAGCCGGTCAAGCTTACAAGTAGAAGAAGCATTCCACGTTCCGGGTGTCGAAGGAGCTCAAGGTGTTGTTATAGGGATCGGGAATGTTGGCTATATTTTCCTCTCGTGAGCGAGCTGCGACTTTTGGGGAAAAAAAAAGAAAAAAAGAAAAAAAGAAAGAAAAAGGAAGGAGAGGAGGAGAGGGAGTTCTCATCGTACCGCATTCGCCGGGGGTGTAACCAAATACTTGGCAGTCCCCAAAGTCTAATTCCTGACAGAGCTGGATGGTATTGCCACTCATATCGATGCTCTCATCCGCCGCCGTGACGGCGGAAGCGGCAAGGATAGCGGCAGCGAGGATGGAGTTGATGAACATCATACTGATAGATAGATAGATAGACAGACTGACTGACGAATGGGATTTGGTGAAAAGAGGAATCGTCCAGAAGATTCGAAGTAAATAGAGAGAAAGCGGCCGGCCTAGAAAGAATACGATAGTAACGATGATGCGAAGCCCGCCACGGGATTCCCACGGGATTAAGTACTCGTTTTATCTTTCTTTCTTTCTTTCTTTCTTTCTTTGTATTACATATAGTACCTGATACCTGGTACGGGGTCTCGTCCCTGGGCGGCCCTACGCTCGCGGTCGAAGAAGGGGCTGCCTGCTCTCTTCCAAGTACTAGGTAGTAGTAGTAGGTACGTACTCCGTAGGTAGGGCAAAGATATTAATAGTACGCCGAGCTTGACATCGCGACTTCAGGGGCCCTTCCGGAAAGTCAGTAAGCGAAACAATGAAACAATTACGCTCCGCGAAACGATGGTGTCCCGCTCCGAAATTTTATCATCATAATAATAACATTGAACGGCGAGGGAGGTGTAAACCTTTTCCGACGACCTTTTCTCAACTAGACGTTTAAAGTCGGCTACTTACGTACTTGGAAATGTAGTTAATATAGATAGCTCTAAGCTCTTCTTGACTCAATTCGAAGGACACGCGATATACTCGATTTATTTCCTTTTTTTTTCCTTTTTTTTTGAAGCTTGATCAGCATCTAAAAATAGAATAAAATATATAGATGGTATAGATACCTACTATACTTATTCAGTACCTACCTACATCAATATCGACCCGACCCGGTCACGGAATGAGCACGCCTCGCTTAGCCTGGCATACCCGTACCGTAACCCTCAGGGCCCCCCCCAACGTCCCTTGCAAACACTATCATATACCGACCGTACCGGTAGCTAGCTACGGTAGCTACAGTAGAAGTACAGTACCGGTAGGTACCCTACCGATACCTAGTCCCCGTGATTCCCTCTACCGGTACCTACTCATACCGTACGTATACTCATACCGTGTCCCTACCTCGAAGGAACCCACTCCTCCCCCGAACCTAGGGGCGCATACAGAAATCAAATCAGACAAAAAAAAAGCTCGCTCTGGTGATCCAAAGGGGTGCAGCTAGTTGCAAGAGAACTGCGGTAACTACGTGCGCCGCACGCTACATATATATATATATATATATATATAAATTGTTTCGCCCACTTGCATCTACAGTACAGGAGAGAAGGGGCCCCTCAAGTGGCGTCGTTCAGTCCTACTGTACTATTAATAGTCGGCGCACTGATGACTAGGTACCGGTACGGTATTGCCATCCCGCCTCGGAAATTATTCATTAGATTATTAAGTACTGTACATACATACACTTGTTCTCTCGATATTTCCGTCGGTATTTTAAAAACTTAATGAAAGATTGATGATATCATTTTTTGTTTTTCAAAAAAAATAAAAAATAAAATTCAATCTTTAAAATACGATTTGTTGATTCGCTTTCTGACACTTTGGGATGATAGATTGATTACCGTGCCATTCACCCCGCAGATTCTAACCTACTATTTAATCCACTTGAGAGGCAAGATCCGCTTGCTTTTCGGCTTCGGCTTGATCCCGATCGGATACAGTCGCGTCGTGAAAATCGTTCAAGAGGCGTTGAAAAGTTTCATGTCTCCCTCATCTGCACGCCCAACAATGTTGATGGGTACGGTATATATAAAAATGATAACGTATCGGTCCTTCTGAGAGTCTGCCGATCTTACTGTACTGTAGTGCATGGTTTCTATTAGTACAGTACAGTAGGAGTAGAGCTTCGATGTCCGTTGATATGCAAGCAATTTAAATCGCGAAGTAGAAATTGCACAGGCGAAGAAGCCCTCTCATCTCGGCGTCCTTTGCATTACTGTATCACACGATAGATATATATTAATTTGAAAAAAGGAAAAAAAAGAAAAAAAAAGAGGATTGATACCGGAGGAAATCGTGTTTCGGATGTCTGACCGCAGTTTTAACAGTAAGCAGTCGTGCTATAAGGTTCACAATGATACCTTACTTACTGCAGGGAATCCATCGCCAGGTACCGGCATTCCAGCTTCCGATGAGCCTCCGTCGGTAGGTAGTAGTAGTAGGTACCGGTAGGTATTCCGGCTGATCCCTGGCCTTCGAAAATTCCCGAACACGTGACCGAGCCGAGCCCTCAGAGCCGCCGACTTACCGACTTACCTCCGAATAGGTAGGTAGGTAGTAGGTAGGTTCTGCTCCGGACACGCATTTATTACCTAACATGGCTTTCACACAAAGATATAAGAGAAAGGGTCGCAAGAGATTCGTACCAAGGGAGAGGGTTCCCAATACCGTCGGATAATACAGTAATCCGAAAAAACGGATAATACCGTAATCTGAAGGAAGACAGCATTTCCGTTCTTTCTTTCCTCTCTCTCTCTCTCTCCCTCTACAGAAAAATCGACCAATCTACCTAGACCTGCCTTCGTTTCGGTAAAAAGTATCGCTTATTGCAATTTCGCGCGGGAGAAGACGACGGTCGAGGCGAAAGGAAACGGAAGTACGGTAGGTAGCGAATTCTTCGCCTACGAGTGCAACCCCGGGGACGGGCCTAGGACGGCCAGGAAAACGGGTCTCGAGGAGGCTCCGCGGACGGTCTTTTCGACGAAGAGACGGTTTAATTGATTGAATCGGTTCCATCTTGGCTATCTATAGCTTGAAAAAAAAAGAAAAACATTCAAATCATTTGATTTCAGGTTCGAGCGAAATCCACATAGGTACGGTAGGTATCGATCGGCCTAGGGTGATCCACTAGGTACCGGTACTTAGCCATTTCAGCCTCTCGTGAGCGTCTCTTACGTAAAGAAATCGTTGTTAGATGATCGGCCGACTCTCGAAAAGATCTCGAGTTCCCTTTTCAAGGTAAGCCCAGGGATTTGGAGGGGTTTGAAGTGGATATTGGAACTTTTGAGCCACCCTCAGGCGGTAATTACTAGGCGGTAATTACTCTGTAATTACCCGGTGTTTACTCGGTAATCGCTTGGGCCGCCCTTCCCCGTTCATTGGGTCACGTCCGACGTTATGAATATCGCTAATACTATACTGTAGGTATACTACTATCTACGACGTACTACCTATAATGCACACTTTGTATACTTCGTGCGACGAACGCATTAATCAACCAATCCACTGATTTCAAGAAATATCGGAAAGAAAGAAAGAAAGAAAGAAAGAAAGAAATCTACAGCCCTTTCCCTTCCCTTTCCTTTCCCTTCCCTTCCCTTCCCTTCCCTTCCCTTCCCTTCCCTTCCCTTCCCTCCCCCCTCAACCACTCATCTATCTATCAATCCCATTTAACATTCACCATTGCCAACCAAGAGCCAAAGACCTTGAGACGCGCCTTATGATACATGTAGTATGTGAAGACGGAACATGAGGTTACTTACTGGTGCATGCATATCGTCGAGGGCCAGTGGTCCTCACCAAGTGAAGGATCCGATGCTGGTGGTAGGCTCACGGGGACAAGGGGTTAGGTGCGTGACGGGAGATGAATCGTGGATTATAGCGAGGGGAGCCATTCACTAGAGGGGGAGTGTGTGGTCTTTGGTGACAACAAGGCGTTCCCGTTCCTACCACTATCTACGTGCGATGACTAAAATTATACAATACGAATATGTGGTCTACAAACGAATATGTTACAGTCACCAACCAATGATCAACAACAAGAGAGAAACCGAGAAACCCTCGAGGACAATTGCAATACAAGAGGAAACATGGAACCGCTGACCGGGCAAAAGTTTGCCCGGACATCGACGACGAGAATACAAATTCAGAAACCCAACAGGTAGAAACAGAAAATTCCTCTCCGCGGCCAATCAATCAAACACATCAATCGTAGCAAAAATGCTGTTCTATGATCTTTGGCAGGGCAGCCATGCGGTTCGCGGTCGAGGCAAAGTCGATCGACTCCTCCCGCATTCTTCGGAACTGCTGCGGTCGCTCGCGTATGGAAGGTGGTGTCCCCTGTTGAGCCGTAGCCGGGGGCTTGACGACCCGTGGTGCGGCCGTGGGACGCGGTTGTTGTCCAAGCGGAGGTCGGTGCCAGTTCCGCACGCTATCCTCTAATGCCCTTCTTTGCTCCGACTTTGCCCTTGCCCGTGCCCTTCTCTGCTCTGATAATTCCCTTGCTCGCTGCTCTGGGATGTTGCGATCACGGGAAGGCGTAGAGTCCGGCGCAGAGGCTGGAACAATGGGCCGAGGAGCAGAGGCCGGTGGTAGGATGGGCTGAGGAGCATAAGCCGGTGGTACGATAAGCAGAGGAGCAGAAGCCGGTGGTAGGATGGGCGGAGGAGCATGAGCCGGTGGTAGGATGGGCGGAGGAGCATGGGCCGGTGGTAGGATGGGCGGAGGGCCAGAGGCCCTGGGAGTAGGCTCCGGGGGATCGGGCGATACAGAACGTAAATCGATGATGATTCTCATCTTGGGCGAATCTTCCGGGCCGCTGGCAATGGCCGCACATCTCTTCCGCGATGGACCTGGACAGGGAGTCTGTTGCGGTGACGAAGACTCCTCACTTGCGTCGCTCCCTTCCTCATCACGCTCGATCGAGGGTATGACAGCCGGCATCCGCAAGGAATACTGTCTCCTTCGAGGGCTGTTCCTATGGGGACGAGGCGTGTCTTCACCGTCCGAGAGCTCTTCTTCAGGGCAGGGGGGCGAGAAGACTGAAGACGAGTCAGGGCTTGTCGTCTGGCTTGAACGCGAGTGATGGGCGTGGGAGGAGGGCTCGTCGTCGTCGTCGTCGTCTTCGTCGTCGTAGTCATCATCACCATCTCTTTCTGGCTCGTCGTCGTCAGGTATGCGATTTGGTCGGGACGGGTGGCAAGGGAGACTGTTCAGAGGTGCCGGGGTAACCTCCACAACGGGTCTGCGAGGAGCCCCGTTACTTCGGTCGTTGCTCTGAGCATGCTTAGCCCTTGCATCACGCACTATCTGTGCATCACGCTCCGAAAAATCGGGAAAAGGAGTGCCGTTGCGAAGGGCATCCACAAGAGGCAGAGCAACATCTCGGACCGTCCGAGGCACACGTTGGGCTGTCCGATCCTCATCGGTCTCAGGCTGGGGGGGAGGTGGTGGCCCGTCGGCTCTTCCGGTTTTTGCGCACGCCGTTGTGCGCCGGTTGTACCGTTCACGAATGACCTGCAAAGCCATGGATGCGCTGCTGAGAAAATTAGCGACGTCTTTAATCTCCTCACCAACTTAGTTGTGGCCGTACGCACCCGCTCGAATTGTCCAACGCGGCTCCCAACAGGTCTATGAACTCTTCCAACAAGCGACAGTTCTCTTCCAATAACATCACGCGGGATTTTTCCGAATAAGAGCCCTCGGAGGGCTCGGTGGGTGCTTTGTCCACCGTTTCCGGAGCCTTTTCCGGTTCTTCC